CATCCAGGAAAAGCTCACAAGATTTTCTAGGAAACTTCTCATATGTAACACAAAACAATAAGGCTAGCATTGGAAACAATGCCCTTTCCATTAAAAGCACTTTTCTGTATTACTGTAATTTAATGATGAAAAAAGTCATCAGTGAGCAATTTTAAGAAAGACAGTAGTGCCCATTTATTTTCTAAAGCAGAGCCATTTCCAAGTAACAAACCAGTAATTTGATTAGAGTCCTTAGCTCAAGGCAAGAAATGCAAATATCTACATGAGAGATCACTACAGTATCCTTCTCTGATTTGCATTTCCATAAGCATCCCTGGAATTTTCATCATTGAAATTCTGGACAATATCTGATGGCCTCTGCTTTCAATGCCCATCAGAACGTGATTTAAGAGCACGTGTGCAATTGGCAACTGGGGACATTATATGATGATCCTTTATTAGCTCTGCATGTACATATTGAAATGAAAGCAGGAATGGAACATTTAACAGGATAGCATCTTACAACAAAATACACATATTTTAAACAGACAGTTTCTTCACCAAAATTCTTTTTTTCTTGTCTCAAAGGGGCTTAGTTTGTTGAGAAATGAATGGAAATTGCAAGTGTTACTCATGCCTTCAGGTTGCAAGAGTCTTATACAAGCCAAATTTTTTTGTTTATTCAGGTCAATTCACTGAGCTCTTTTTTCACCTTTTAGTTATGCAGTGAAATCTCTTAGAACAGTATCTTTCTTTTATGAAGGGCCATTAAAATTATGATACCTGCACATTTGAATTATTTTCATCTAGCCAATGGAATGGAATCCTACACAAAGCTCAGAGTTGAAAAATGAAAATTCTATTATCTTCAAGTAGTTGCACACATATGTAAATGTGTTTTGAGTTAATCTAAAATGCAGGATGGGCAGAAATTTTAGTTCAGCTATGACGGCATATATGTGTTTGCAAAAGCCCAAGAGCAATTAACATCAGTTGCTCAAAAAGTGAAGGAAATTTCTGCTTAAGGGAGCTGTCAGCAAATCACTGCTTGTTTTTACCACAGTCACAGAAAGCGTGTATTTACAAGTACATCTTACCCTCATGGATTCCCAGATCATTAATTCTACGAGGGGAAAAAAGAGACCTGAATAGAAAACCTCATTATTCAGTGTTATGAAAGCTGATATTGTTTAAAAAGTCACCAGCAAGGGTATTAGTAAAAATCAGATTTAATACTAAGCATGGCAAGGTTCACTCTACTACTTCCTAGATGGTTAAGGCACACCAAGGGTAAAAATGCAGCAAATAAAATCCACTCAACCAAAACAGAAATGAGCCAACAACTGTCTATGAGTGTATGTGTTTAGGTGTGTGTTTAGCTGTGTGTGATAAAAGGATAGAAAGGAATATGGCCTAAAGGCTTAATAGCACTCAAACTTAACACTACTTAAACTTTATTTGTACCTTAAACTTGACAATTCAGCAATGGAACAACACTTAACAGCATTTAACATAATTGAAATTATTATACCTTAAATTTAAAATTTAGCAAAGGAATGACATTTAACAGCATTTAACTTAGCTTATAACTTAAATTAAAGTTACTTACGGACCTGACTTACTTAGATATCTAACAGATATACACCTAAGAGAGCAGCATTTCTCCCGTTTTGCCATAGCATGTGCACACTTCTATGCATAAAGGGTTGGTGGAAGGTACCTGTGAAAAATTCCCCTCAAAGGTAACAAAATTCTCACTTTGGATGCCTTTGCATCTCCTCAATGGGAAAAGAGGCCTGGAGGAGCAGGGGTATCAGCCCAGGATCCATCGTGGTTGGATGATCTCTGAGTGCAGCAAAGGGAAGTTTGCTGGCTCTGAGAGGCCCCGCTCAGAGAGGAGTTTCTGGTCACAGCCACCGAGGCCCAGGAGAGCTCCAAGGGTCTCCTTTTGGGCCACTCTTTATAGGCCGCAAGTGAGCGGGCCTTAGTCATAATAATGCTCCAACCCGGCCACGCTTCAGGTCAACACCCTTTCTTTGAAATCGTGACAATAAGGAAGAAGAACAGTTTCCGAGGTTGCTCATAAAAAAACCTCAGGAGCTCGTTAGGCAGCGCAGGTTCCTGGGAGCAGATGGAATTTGTGATGAGCTCCAGAGGAGCCGGGCTCAGGCGCTGCTCAGCAAGGCCGGGGCCTAAATGCTCATCAAGGCCTAAGGAGCGCTTCTCAGATCACTGCGCTGAAGTGACAGACCTCAGCCTAAATGGTCTAAGGGGAAAGAGCCACCAAATCCTTTTCCAGCACTGGCTGAACAAATGCTAACAAGATCCCACTGCATAAGAATAGGGTGTGAAAATACTCGCACTCTCAAAAGTGGGAAGAGAGTTGAAAGGGTAGATGAAGGGACACGCTCTTGGTACAGAGCCAAGGGAACGAAAGGGTCAGAGAAAAAAATGAAGGGAACAAGGTAGACGACTGTATAATTGGGTACAAGTGCAAGAGACCAGTAGTGCAAAGGGAATTAATTAATTAATTA